TACATACATACATACATACATACATACATACATACATACATACATACATACATACATACATACATAAACAAAATAAAATGATGCAGAATATATAAAAACACTAAACAGGAAGTCCAGGCTTTTATTTTGACGGGTCCCAGCCGGAAGCCGCGTCAGTAATCATCTTTAGCTCTACGGCCGGACGGAGCTCGTTATCGGCGCAGCGGCTCCGCACAGGCAGCAGGGGAACGCTTCGGGCTACTGGACAACTTTCAGAGTCTGCTATGACATCTCGCAGGTAAAGTGGAACATATATATTTATATTGTTTTGTTTTTAAAGTGTGAGTTGAACTGTCACGGAGCGACGCAGCAGATTTAAGCTAAACGAGCCCCGTTAAAACTGTCAGGGACTGCGGTCAGATTCACAGCTGAGGGAACCCAGCAGGCAGCCGGCTGGGGAGTCTGAACTTTCCCTGCTGGGATAAACACGCTCCTGCTTCACTGGTGAGGTTCCGAAAATTATCTCTTTTTTTTTCTCTTTTAAATTGTATCTTATCTCGTTTATATTAATCTTCATTCAAATTAAAATAAACCCTAGAAACTTTAATTCATTTAAGTTTGTCATTAACTTTTGTAAAAACAGATATGTTATTGTAGTTTACAATTTGTAGCTGGTAAACATTTATTTTTATTTCAATTTTGTGTTTAACTTTACCTTTTTGTCTTAGTTTTGTTTATTATGATAAATCAGAGGTTTATGTGTTAAATAAATGTTTCATTGTAATGTTTAAACTTTAAAATTTCCTCCAAATTATTGTTTTAAAGTAGAGACAATCCACTTTCTGACCCCTCTTAAATAAATAAGATTAAAATCAGTCACCTGGATTTATACATATTTACTTCAACATCCGTATTTGTAGTTATTATAATGTTTTTTTATTATTATTACTTCTTCTTAAATAGCTATTTTGCACAACTTTACACCAGTATCAGACTCAAATCTACAGGTTTTCTTTGGCCAGTACCCTAAAATCTGGGCAACCATGTCTGATTACATCAATTGCTTAGAAAAATAAAAACTAATCCAAACTAAAGTGCATCTTCATTTTCCTAACTGGCAATTTTAAAAATATGTAAAGGAATGGCCAATACCAACTTACTAACGTTGACTGGCCAATTATTTGGTCCATCTTGATCAGAACAAGTCAATGATGGTGGAAAAAAACTCTCCCATTAAGTGAGAATCCTATTCTTTTGGTGTTTTAGAGAAGACTTTATGTGCAGTTTTCTTTAAAAATTCAAGATAATGGTAGTAGTAGTAGTAGTAGTAGTAGTAGTAGTAGTAGTAGTAGTAGTAGTGCTTTTAAAAATATATTCATTCTTCATGTCATTTGTTTTCAAAAGTGGACTAAAAGGACATTTCTCTGCAAAGTGACCTCAAACAGTCCATCAGTTTGTCTCCTGACCATTATGCCTGATGTTCACTAAAAAAAAAAAGTTGCAGCGTTGACAATCACAGAGTTTACAGTTGATACAAACTGTCCACTTTTATACAGGTGGAAAAGGTGTCGGGTCACGAACCGCTTGTAGCGCAATCCTTGTCTTTGTGCACTTTACCTGTGTTATAGTGATACAATTAAGCTGAGGATAAAAGACTTGGGAAAAAAGAAAACTCAGCAGTGATGCTTTTTCTCTTTGGCTTTTTAAAGTTTGCAAAAAAAATCAATAGGGCAGCATGATTTTATAAAATCTTGCGATGGCGATAATATTTGTAAACRTKRTGACGATATCAGGCACAATATGTCTTTTTTTCCCCTCACTTTCTAATCAGTACTATTCTACTTTATGTTACCTTTAGCATTTTTGGCAATGTCATTTGTATCTGGTGTGAGCTTTTGCTGCCGTGACACTCTTTCCTACTGGCTAAATATCGAGTAGTATTAAAAAAAGCAATTTCAAAACTCTTCAAATAGTCAACAATTCTTGACACCTAGCAGTGCTTTCCACTATGAATATTGCCCACACTGATAATGCGATGACAATATATTTGCGATATATTGTGCAGAAAAATTGGACCAAAAATAAAAAACGAAAAAAGTGACAATTTTCTTTTGCAAAGTAGGGCCCAAAGGTGTTTAGCATGTGGTATATAATGGCAGTAATGTTTCCACCAAAGGTGTGCTGAGTAAAAAGAATTAAACTTCATGTAAATTACAATAAACAAAATGTCTTACAATAACCATCATTTCAGTAATCCTCCATTTTCCTGATAGAATTCAGCTTATGGTTCCATTTTACAAATACTTGTGAGCTTTATATGAAAGACTTGTGAGCTGACTGAGGACCAGGTGCTGAGTTTCCTCGGGGATCAGCACCACCAGCAGATCAGAAAAGGAGAAAATGCTGAGGTCGAGTAAAAAGTTGTTTTCATCTGCTACTTTCCATGGTTAATCACTGGTTGGAACATGTATGACTGCTGCTGCATGGCTCACTTTGTGCTTCATGGGCTGAAATACCACAGAGGAAGCATATATAAATAGGGACTGACATTAATTTAGAAAAAAATTGTGGGGGGTATATTTTATTCTTACCTGCTTGTAGGGTGATTAGTGCACTCTGTTGGATATCACTTGTGATACTGTTCCCATTAGATTGCATCTTTCCTACACAAGAGGTCATTTTAAGTTTTCGCTGACCCTGATTTGATTTGATTTATTTATTTAACAGGAAAAGATTATTAAAAATCAAGCCTGACTCAGCATAATTGCTGTTTTACAGCACGTTCCTGTTCTGCAGCACATAAAACACTCAGAAWTACAGCATCACAATCACATCATTATACACCATAGACACAAAGACAAACAAGCATACCAAATTTCAGGAAGGCAGCATTTGCAAAATAGGACGTCTAAATATGGGCACAACAAAAAGTGTCCAGCAGATGGCAGACAAGATTCTTCTTAAAGGGCTGTAGTTTTGAAATGGACTTTATGTTTTGAGGAATGTCATTCCATGCTTTAGTATAAACATAGAAGAAAAACCTCTGGCCTTAACAGTTTTTAAAAGTTGGTAATATCAGTGCTCATATTTAGACGTCCTATTTTGCAAATGCTGCCTTTTTGAAATTTGGTATGCTTGTTTGTCTTTGTGTCTATAGTGTATAATGATGTGATTGTGATGCTGTAATTCTGAGTGTTTTATGTGCTGCAGAACAGGAACCTGCTGTAAAACAGCAATTATGCTGAGTCAGGCTTGATTTTTAATAATCTTTTCCTGTTAAATGAATCAAATCAAACCAGCCCAACCGGCAAGTAGGGCTGTGTATTGGCAAGAATTTGGCGATACGATACATATCATGACAGAGGGGTCACGATACGATATATCCCGATATATTGCGATACTATAAGCAAGGCAATATATTGTGATTTTTTTTGTCCAAAAATTCTATTAAATAAAGAACTCTTACTGAAAAAAAAGAAAAAGAAGAAAAGCTAATGTTTACTTACAATGCTAATGCTACCCTTACTCTGTGGCGCTCAAAAGGTAGAGGAGCCAAATGGTTGGCTCACTGCTGCCAACTAGTGGTCAGAGGCTGAACTACAACATAAAAATGAACGGTTGGCAGGGAAGTTGACATTTTAAACATTAATTAAAAATCGATACAGGGCTTTAGAATATCGATACAGTATCGGGAAATGAAATATCGCGATATTTCAGTGTATCGATATTTTCTTACACCCCTACCGGCAAGGTAGATGATATTTACCAAAGTTAGGATAACTTATGGTCGATGCTTGTATACACGCCATAGGACGCTTGTGTGCTGTTGTTTTTCGAAAATGATGTCCGTCATTTGCGTCTTTCATCTTCTGTTTATGTAGCATACAGAGTAACAGCAACACTAAAGTTGAGGTAAATTTGGTCAAAAACAGACCTGCAGATGCCTGTAAAGCCAAATGGGATGTATTTTCCTCTGCCGCCACCGCCGCCATCTTCACTCTGAATGTTTTCATGCACAGCAATATTTTCCAATTAACCACCAGTGGAATACTGTTGGTGTGTGTTGGCTCATTTTCTTTTCACGCTTAGCTTTGCTAAAGAAACCACTGACCCTGAGTTTTCTGATTACCTTCATAAGGTCATATTCTGAAAACTCTTTCAAACATACCCTGTAAAGTCTTCTGATCCTGATTGATATGTACAGCTTTAAAACCCAACCATAATGCTGAATCCTGCTGGAGTTTGGTTTTTTTATGAYTTACACTGCAGAGTTAAAGCTTTCAGCTGCAGGACAACAGAGGAAAACCCAGTTAAAGTGCTGTTTTATTCCATATGTGTGTAATTATGAGTTTGGATGGATGCAAACAGATTGGTGGGGAGGATAAAGCACTGATCGGACTTTTCCTCTTGCACATAAACAAAAAAATTAATAAATGAAATGCTTATCATATCATAGCTTGATGAAAATAATATCCTTTTTAAAATAAAGGTGAATACACACCAATAGTATGCTTCAAAAATGTTATATATTTCCTCATTTCTCTTCTATTTTTAGTTTAACTTGATAAACTTTTTTAAAACATATTAAGTTTTTGGGGGAATTGGTAATACTTTAACTGTTTCTATTTTTACTGGTTGATTGTTATTTACACATCGACCTGTCTGCTGTTATGCAAGAATGTTCCCGTTTGGGGAAACTTGCATGTTTGCCTTGGAAATCGCTGCTGGTTCTCGGAAATGGCATCGATACAGAAGTGTTAAAGATTTGCCAAGCCTGAGTGGTTACCTAATAAGAGCCCCCTACGCCAGCTTATGGTTCCAGATGATAGTTGTATATCTTTCACAAGGAGGTCCTATAGAACAGCTGGAGTGCACAAAAACCACGTGACCATGCAATTGGCTGGTGAAGCTAACGGCTAACGCTAAACGGGCAAGAGTCTGGATTTCCCATTACTGTACATGTTGGTGACAGAGCAGAAAAAAAGGACTGACGATGTAGAAATCATTAAAACTATTAATAATAATATTAATTCAATTATGATTAATATTGTACAGTTTATATAATCTATCTAATGTTTTAAATAATCTCAGAAAAGCTGTTTGTGTTATGGATTTATTAACAGAAGATAAACAGGAAAACGTCTCGTTTCACAACACAAGTCAGCAGATTTGATCTTATTTAGCTCAATGTGATCCGAGCAGAACGTAATGTAACAGTTTAAAATTAAATTAATCTTATAAAGTCGATATAATCACTGTTATTTATTGAACTGGTTAACAGATATTAGCTTGTGGAGC